AAACCAGACTGGCAGTTATACCAACACCTTTCACATCTTGTATTATTATTTCGTGTAATATACCTTCGTTATTTCTATTCTTGTGTTCGTGTTGTTCTTCCTTGGTCCTAACCTGGACCATGATAGATAGATAGATAGATAGATAGATAGATAGATAGATAGATAGATAGATAGATGATAATAAATTAAATTAAATATTTACTTACCTTTCCTACTTACTCAGATATTAAATCCATTTTTCAGGGGCGATTGTATAATTGAATTTCTTTCAATGGATTATATTTCAATGTATTTTTAAGTAATTTTACTCGAAGCAAGGGAGTAAAGTCACTAAGACGCAAGGTGTTACTGAATCTTAGAAGAAAACATGTGGAAAAAAACTCTATTAAGGAGAGAGAACAACAAAATAACAGAAATTAAGAAGACAGAAATCAATTCAATTATACAACCAAGAACACTGATGGGTTGATATAATCTTAATGAAACGCTGAGTAAAGTTAATCGAACATTACAATGTATTTTGAACTAATTATTCTGTATCTCTATAGAATAAAGGGAATAAAGCCACTAAGACGCAAGGTGTTACTGAATGTTATAATTACGGAGAATACTCACCTTAGAAGCGTTATCTTTCATAAATACAATGATCATATTTTTTGGGAGATTGTTTTTGTTAGAGAAATATAGTATGTGATTCCCGTCAATAAATACCAGATGTTTTGAATCGAATTTACTGCCAAGAAGGGTAATGATAAGATTAACCGTTTTCTTATAAGGAAAAATTCGGCATTTATTGACCGAGCAGGCAGTTTAACGTTTGGTTGAAATTAATAAAATCTTTCAAACGTGCATAAATGAAATATGGTTGCCCAAATACTCTCTATCTCTCCCCCCCTCTCTCTCTCTCTCTCTTTCTGTATATATATATATATATATATATATATATATATATATATATATATATATATATATATATATATACTAGCTGAGATACCTGGCGTTGCCTGGGTGTACATAGCTGTAATTGTATAACTACACACCACTTTATACCACACATCCCTGTCAAAAAAGGTTTGCCTGCGTCCCCGCTTGCATGCATCATCCGTTGGTATACTAAGCTACTCCCCCGTCCTCATCTTTTTCACGGTATGTCCTTCGCAAATGTTTGATTGTTCCATCGATAAAACCTTCTTGTGTGGTCGCTGTTCGGGGTTAAATTGTTTCTATGTTTTAAATATTCAATAAATTTCCTATGGCCGTAATAACTTTCTAATAGCATAACACTGTTTACAAATTCTTGATACATTTACTGTAAAGCTGGAGTTAATAAGAGGTCCTTCGTGAAATTTTCCCTTTTAACGCTTCAATAATTCGTCTCAAACAATCTTTGCATTATAGATTGTTCGAATGGCAATTTAGGATGAAATAATATGAAGAAACTATTGGCTAAATGGCAAGAGCCAATTTTGGCCTTAGTTTGTCGCAGATTTCGTCCACTTAACAGCAATAATCGAAAGCAAACATTCAGGCAAGAAAATTTGTGTCATATTTAATTTACATGGCAACTTTAGAAAGAATCGGATGAAAAACCAGGGAAAATGGTTAAATGGCTTTATAGTCATTTATTTCCAATAAATGGATATCTTTCTAGTTTTTCCCAAAACAGGCCATCCCACAATGCCATAAAAATGCAACATATATATATATATATATATATATATATATATATATATATATATATATATATATATATATATATATATAAAAGGATCAAACACTAATATTCCATGGTTATAATTTATTACATTGGAATCGTAATTATATTCTTATTCTGTCCTGAACATTGAGTTCTACCTAGATTCTATTCTCTTGGAAATTTATACAATACGACAATATTGTCCCAATCTTGTAAGAGCATAATTTTCCATCCCAGAAAATGTTTTATATCTTAAAAAACACTGAATTTATTGAATTTTTTTACAGGTTTCCAGGACGTTTAGCCATCGGGACGCCATTTGTCGTAAGAATCACAGAAAAACTTTTTCAGTTATTCAGTTAGAAACAGACCAGATAAAAATTGTTTTGTGTCCTATCCCCTGTGTTCCAAGCTGAGCAATGGTGAGAGGAAAATGATCATTCAGGCCTTCAGTAATAGTACCAACATTTTCAAAATCCATTCAAGAACCATCATGAGAACGGTGAATAAGTTTAAAAAAAGATGGAGCAGTAGAGAGGAAAACTGGATCAGGAGGTCACAACAGGAAGAGGGATCATCATTTCAACTTAGAACTAAAGAGATCAATTAGAAAAGATCCAACTCAATCCATTAGACGTTTGGCACATGAGAGGGGAATTTCAGCTATGACAGTTCAAAAGAGTAAAAAAAAAGACACGGAAATGAAATCGCACGTGAAAGCTGTGAGACACGTTGTTACTCCAGGACTGAAAGTTAGAAGTTTAAAGAGGGGGAAGATCATCTTGAATAAGTTGAGAAATGATCCTGCAATATATATATATATATATATATATATATATATATATGAACTTTATGTCAATTCTTCATCAGTTTCTGATTCTTAGCTATGATTAATTAATGACGATGTCAATTTCGTTTATGATCGATTTCATCAAGATTCTTCTGTTAAGTTTGAAGACTAATTATACATTCTTATTGCTCAAAGTAGAATCCAATAGTGTTATAAAAACATTTGCGAATTCCAGTATATATATTTATTCATTTCTAAGATACAACGATTCAAAGCTTAATCTAACCCCTGGTATATATATGAGTGGATGATATATTTGTGTGTGTGGCAACAATTCGATGGATATAGGCATTTAAACATGGTCATGGCGAATTCATGCATAAGCAAGAGAAAGAAGGATTATTTACGTGACTTTGAACACGCGGCATGATCGATGATTCTTGACGGGCGGGTTTGAACATTTCAAAAACTGATGACCTACTGACATTTTCATAGAATACCATCTTTAAATTTTACAGACAGAGGTCAGAAAAAAATCAAATTAAAAAATAACAAGTGAGCGGCCATCCGGAGTGTGGAAATCCCACGGTATAACAGCTGGAAGGGAGATGTCTAGACTGGTTCAAGCTGATAGGAAGACAACAATGACTCAAGTAGCCCTCTTTGCCACGGAGGATATAGAAGATCCTCTCTGAACATACATATCGAACTTTAAAGCAAATCATTAAAACAGCAGAAGACAAATCCGGGTACCAGTCTTGTCAGATAAGAACAAGAAACTAAGGCTTCATTTCGCTAAATTGAAAAAAAATAAGATTAAGAAAATCGTTGCCTGCTCTGTCAAGTCTCGATTCGAATGGCAGTGTCATAATTTGACATAAACAGCATGTAAATATGAATCAATCCTACCTTTGATCAACGGTTCAGGCTAGCAGTGATGAGTATGGAGTTATATGTTAATGGCATACACTGATAGTTTAAAGCGCAGCCTACCACTATAGCATTGTTACTGACCGTATGTCTTAATTCATGACTCTGGTAGGTCACTCCCAGGAGGACAACGCATCGTGTCACAAATCAGAAATAGTGCCAGATTAATTGGTGGAACACAGCAATAAATGTTCTGTGTTACAATCACCGGTTCTCAATAACGGAGAGCACCTTTGGGTTGCGGTAGAAAGGTAGATTCAAATCCTGGATGGGCATCCAACCAATCTAGAAGAATTGTTTTGTTGGATGCCATAATAACAGTATGGAACCAAATTCATGGTAGGAAGAACAGAGATGGATGTTAATGTAAAAGTAGGAACAATTCGGTTCAAGAAGAGCACATCTAATACAGTGACAAGTATGTATGTATATACACATATATACATACATACATAGACACACACGTATATATATATATATATATATATATATATACGTGTGTGTGTGTTTGTGTGTGCGTGCGTGTGTGTGTGTTTATACAGAAATTGTTAATTGATTATTTTGTCACTGCAGCTCGAACACTATGCCGTCTCTTCTCTCTCATATAAACACACGTGTACACATATTGAAACACATATACAAGATAGATAGATAGATAGATAGATAGATAGATAGATAGATAGATAGATAATGAACAGACTGAGATAGATAGATAGATATGAACAGACTAAGATAGATAGATAGATAGATAGATAGATAGATAGATAGATAGATAGATAGATAGATGAGATAGATAGATACATACTAGATAGATAGATAGATAGATAGATAGATAGATAGATAGATAGATAGATAGATAGATAGATAGATAGAACAGATAGATAATAGATAGATAGATATGAACAGACTAGATAGATAGATAGATAGATAGATGATGAACAGATAGATAGATAGATAGATAGATAGATAGATAGATAGATAGATAGATAGATAGATAGATAGATAGATAGATATGAACAGACTGAGATAGATAGATAGATAGATAGATAGATAGATAGATAGATAGATAGATGTTTAATAGGATATAGAAAAGGAGGTCATTTGTCATGGGTAAAATGATAAAGCTATATCTTACACATTATCTTTTTCTTTTTATGTCTATGAGAAGGAAAAAATCCTAAAGAAACCTTACACTGTGGAAAAGTTTGTCTCGTTAATAGGGATCCGCGGACAGCTACCGGCGTTTGTCAATGGATCCCTGCTTGGCATAATGAGAAAAACGTTCGCTCATCTGAATAAACGTAATGTCGAATTTCGAAGATCGACGTTGTTTTATTATTGCTTTTTTATATTATTTTTTTTCTTTTCGGTACTTTTTTTTGTTACTTGTTCAAATGTTTGTTTTCTTTGGTAGTAAACACGAAGAAATCTATTTTTTATTCGGATGATAATGAATGGCAAAATAATGAATAACACCTATCTTTCTAGCCGAAACGAATTAAAAAAAAAATCATGTATATATTACGCGTAGATTTGCGTTCAACACATACTTTTATATATTCCTTATTCCGCACATACCTTAATATGTACATTTGTGTATAAACCGTTGACAACTTGTATAAAAAATCAAAAACCTATTTTCCAAATACCAAGCAAGGTTACACACACACACATACACACTGTCCATGAGAGAAATCATGGAAAATTTGTTGTTTAAAAACAGTAATTTGACTTTGCTAACCAGATGCAAACTCTGTAGCTAAATAGTATAGCACATCAGGCTATATGACGGTTCCGTATAGGATACAGGTTCGTTTCCTGTCGGAGGACACATATTTTCTATTCAATTTCACGGATATTCAGGTCGGTAAATGTAATTAATACTGTTTATTATAAACTCAGCATTTACTTAAATATTTGTATCTATAAAAAAATAACGTATAAAGAAAAAATATATTAATATATATATATATATATATATATGCATACAACGATAAATGTATAGATAAAAATAGGTACGCATGTATATGACAATTTCATATATATATGTTTGTGTATACTTTTCTTTACTATGTATAATGAAAGCAATCTTTATCTCATCCGTAAAATATAGCTTTTTAGTGAGTTGCCTCACTGTATGAGTCAGTATAAGCATTTGTGCATTTAAACGTGCACATTCGGCTATTTCGTAAACTGCTCCATTATGTACATAGTTTAAAAGCACACACTGCGTCGCGGATTCCAGTATATATATATATATATATATATATATATATATATATATATATATATATATCAAACAAATAGAAGAATAGGAAAGAACCGTTAGGTTAATAATCCGAAGCTCTAGTATTTTTGTTTAAAAAAAAAATATGATTCCATCGCTACATAAGAGTTCTCATGTTTCAAAAAAGAAGCTAAAAACTTCAATTTAATTATAGAAATTAAATTAAAATATCTAGTTCTGTTTCATCCTCAAGCGAATTTTGTTGAGGATGAAACAAAACTAGGTACTTTAATTTAAAGAACTCTTATGTAGCGATGGAATCATATTTTAAAAAATAATTATAATATATTATATATATATATATATATATATATATATATATATATATAAATTATAAATATAAATTATTCAATAAGAATAAATTATTTAGAATAAGTTATGTAGATTTTCATTCAAATTTATAAACAAGGAATAATACGTCATGAATGGAACATAGCATCCATATTGGTCTTGATCCGACAGTGGCTATTTAAGATGACTCAAAAAATTTGGTTTGCTTTACATATACTTGTAATTCCTTTACATATAATTACTTTTATTCTCCTTTAGTGGAATATTTGTCGTGTTCAATGTATTTTAAAATAACTTAGTACTGTACAGAAGAAGCCATCTTCTAAATAAATAAATGGCAAACGTGTGTCTGAAATCCTTCTAACTCGGGCCACACTTGCTCTACATAAACATTTTATACCTTTTTGGAATCAGGATGGCCCAGGGATTGAAAATCTGCCTTTCATCTGGTGCTTGAATTTCCAGTATTGCGACTTGTTTCCGGATGAGGAGAGAACAGTTAAACATTCAAATTTAAAAATAACTGAAAAAGAAATTAGTGATTTTAAAAGTTTTTGATTTATATTGAATTTAAAGTAACACAAAAGCTTCGTGAATTTAAAATTTTTTGCTTTAAATTCAGTTTAAAATATCTCTAAAACTTTGAGTAATGAGGAAATCTATATTATTTCTTCAAAATGCTAAAGAATCAGAGTTAAGGTGAGAAATTTCGTCGATTGAGGTTTTGAAGTTCCGTATAGTTTGTTATTTGAAAAACACAACTCAAGTGAAGTTCCATAACGTTTGTGATTTGAAGAACTTATTTTTCGGCCAGAATTGAAATTTCGGGCTAAATCGGAGTTTCGGCCCAAATCGGTCGTTTGGCCAGAATTGGACTTATAGACCGAACAAGAGAGGTTCTGAAGTTCCATCGAGTGAATTGAAGAATTCAAAGTTATATCTTGAAACTTATCATTGCTGTTTTCGAAGCTAGACCAGCGGTCCCTTTAGTTTTGGGCCGGAGGTCCAATTAGCCCTCTGCTGGAGCTAACTTTAAAGCCCGCATGGAGTGCAGCTTTTAAGCTAGTAAATAAATGAACTATCTTCTTTTGCATGCCTACCCATGTATATTCTTTTTTGTTACTCGATTATGTAAAAACAAAAATGTACCGCGACCCTTCAGGTCATAAGCGATCATGGCTCTTCACAACTTCCTGTCCCTTGTAGCCCTTTGCATTTTTTTCTCGTTTTGTAAAGGCTGCCACCCCCCGTTTCGCTCACACAAGCTGATCAGGCATGTGGCTTGCTGTCTTCCCCTATCTCTCTTGCCATCAATATACCCAGTAAGGGTTAAGTTTTCTAAGCCATTCTTCCCAATTATGCGTCCAAGTAATTTCAGCTGTCTTTTCCTTATTCTGATTAGAAGGGTTCTTTCTGTTGCTATTTTCTCTAAGAATTCTTTATTGCTTACTCACACCGTCTATGTAATTTTCAGTATCCTTCTGTAGAACCACATTTATGCTGCCTCTACTTTCCTCATCATCCGAGAGACTGTCCAGCATACACTGCCATATAAATGGATGGATATCACATAGCAATTCAGGACTTCTTTTTGTTTGTAACTAGTTTTTCCCTTTCTCAGTACCATACTTAGCTTTCAAAATGCTTCTTTCGTTCGTCTAATGCGGGTTCGGATCTGGGTGTTGCATTTTGCACACACTGTTAAAACACTTCATAGATACTTAAACTTCCGCACCTGCTTGATGTAGATATATCAAATTTGTAAATCGCATCTTGGACTTTTTCTCTTGCCGATGACCATACTTTCCGTTTTCTTGCAGCTGATAGTTAGTACTTTTTTTCTTCTTTTCTTTTACTATCCTGTCTAGGGGGTCCTGTAGTTTTCTTTCTGGGTCGGCCATCAACGCAGTATCATCTTCCTGTCTTATACTGTTGAGATTACGCACACCGGTCTTAGTAGGGTCTCCATTTCCTTTAGGATAGGGTCGCTATAGAGATTTCCTAAATGTGGGGATAAAACACAAAAACCTACTGTCATGTCGGCGTAAGTACGTACAGAAGCGGGAAACTTTCCTGGCGACTCATAGTTAGAATAAAATAAATCTCGTTTTTCGCGTTCAAGACACAAGTTCACAGGCTGATTTTCTAAGTCCACCCCCACTACAAAAGAGAGGGAAAAAAAACGGAAAGGCTCCTGATTGATTAGAAATTGAAATTGTATTTATTTTAATATCTTATCTATTCTTGTTGAAAGCTATGCGCCGATTCCTATGAGCAGAGATCAAATTTTTATCACTTTCGTTTCTACTGCCTCAGCCACGCCGACTTTTCTATATGACATTTGTATGCTTGTAATAGTAGCTCAGTACATACTCGGCTTACGCGCATATCATGTTGAAACAACGGTGATCGTTCGATTACTGAAGTTTAGCAGGGCCGAACCTGGCCTGGACCTAGATGGGTGACTGCTTGAGAATACCAGGTGTTATAAGCTTGGATGTGCGGTGGTGTAATTGATAACGTCTCGCAACTGGAAATATTGGAGAGCCGAGTTCCAATTCCAGTCGGTTTCACTTATTATTATTATTATATCCACTTACTCGCAAATAACCTTGGGGAACATATGAATTCAATTCTTCTCCAGCTATTGGTTAAATTGTAAGTCTTGTATCAGTAAATCAGTATTATCTTAAAAAATTCTTACAATCCAAAAATATTTTCTGGTTTAAAGTAACGTAGAAGAGCTTGACAAGCCGGAGAAAACGCAATTCAATTAATTTCACTACAAACTCATTCACTAAATACATAATTTTATTTACCAAACTTTCAGCCACTTATCCATTTAAGATTTTCACCTATATTAGCCTTCTTTAATTATTCCTTCAGCTATCTTTCTCTATTCATTAGTTATCTATCTATCTATCTATCTATCTATCTATCTATATATATATATATATATATATATATATATATATATATATATATATATATATATATATATATATATTTATATATATATATATATATATTTATATATATATAAATATATATATATATATATATATATATATATATATATATATATATATATATATATATATATGTGTGTGTGTGTGTGTGTGTATATTTGTTCGTATCTACTTACCGATTGATCTCAATCTGTTCACATCTATCTGTCTGCCTGTCTGTCTGTATATGTCAGTCTGTTCACATCTATCTCCCTATCTATATTTCTATCTATGTTAGTCAGTTCACATCTACCTATTTATATATCTCATATATTTGCCAGTCTGTTCACATCTATCTATCTATCTATCTATCTATCTATCTATCTCAGTCTGTTCATATCTATCTATCTATCTCAGTCTGTTCATATCTATCTATCCATCTATCTCAGTCTGTTCATATCTATCTATCTATCTCAGTCTGTTCATATCTATCTATCCATCTATCTATCTATCTATCTATGCCAGTCTGTTCACATCTTTCTATCTATTTCAGTCTGTTCGACATCTATTTATCTTTTTCGCTGGGATTTTGGAAATTACTTCCAGTTATACAAAACGATTTACAACTAATACATAGAAACATCTTTTTTCTATATGCTTACAAACGAATGCATATGATGCGAATATATGGACACATATATTCAGCTATTGCTATGCACACAGTCTTCACCAATAAATAAATTAAATATTTTCAATCAAGAAGGAGCTGAAGAGTGAAGTTGGTTGGGTGTGAGAAAAGATTTATCGCAGATTTTCTTCTGTATCGAAATAAATTGAAATGGAAGACCATGAATAAAGATGCATTGACGACAGAATTATTACTTCCCTCTATTGCTAGGCTTCTAATAGGCCTTGCTAACGGCCTAGCCATCTTTTATATACATGTAACAAATAAAAAAAACATTAGGTCAGTCGTTTATTTTTTCCGCTTTTTACCTTTCGAATTTTAACACAGCTTGTTTTTTTTACACATTTACATTTAATTTCACTTGGCCATGTGGGTGGAAATGCACGTGCCAACATATGTAACTACCTATCTATCCACCATCTGTTGATGTATGATTGTCTTACATTTAACACTGAAACGTAGACCGACGCTCGCTTAAATGCTTCGCATATTTTTTCTGACAAGATTTCTCGAATATTCAGGCCGGTAGATGTAGTTGGATAAAAAACACTGTTTAATTAAAAAAAAATCAGAACGTCTGCTGAAATATGAGTATCCATAAAAAAAAATAACGGTTAAACAAAATAAATTAAAAAATAACAATATGTCGGATTTAATCCATTTCCTAAAAATAAATTGTCTTTGTCTACGTTAGGATACAATACAGAGCAGATTTGGATGATTCGGGAATCGTCGGAGAAGTGTGTGTTCAAAAGGCATTATTTAGGCTTTGTTTGACAGGAAATCTAACATGGCCGAGCGGTCAGACACGTTAAATCTAATGGCAAGTTCGAATCCTGCGTCTTGCGAGGACGCCGAAGTTTTCTCGAATATATGGGCCGCTAGATGTAATTGAAAAATAGAAGAAAGTACTGTTTAATTAAAAACAAAATACAAAAAAAAAAAAACAGAGCTTTTAATCGAATTTGAGCATCCATCAAAATAACGTTTAAACAAAATAAATTAAAAATAACACACACAAACACACACACACACACACATATATATATATATATATATATATATATATATATATATATATAGAGAGAGAGAGAGAGAGAGAGAGAGAGAGGAAAATGTATGAAAAAAATTACTTGTGATGCGTTTCGTCCTTAGAGACTTCATCTGACTAAATGTGTTATGCTGGCACAACTACAAATGCACACGAACTAAAACACTTCCTTGTTTGACCATTGGTATCTCCGATTTGCAATTCGCACTTTGGCTCTTCATTTTGCTAACAACCACGTATTCTTCCTTCTTGCAGTTGATGTTTAATCCTTTCTTTTCGCTTTTCTTCGCTACCTTCTTTAAAGCTTCTTGTAGTTTTCTTTCCGTATCTGCTACCAACACTGTGTCATCTGCATATCTTATGTTAAGACTGTGGACGCCAATAATTAATCCTGGTATCATTTCTAATTAGCCCAGAATTGCCTCACTGTATAAGTTGAATATGTCCGGTGAGAAGGCACATACTTGTCTTACACCCTTTTCTGTGCTTGTATATCTACTCAACTCATTTTCTCTACGTGTGAAGGCGGATTGCTGCCAATATTGGTTCTTGATTATTCTAATAACCTTCCCAAATATGTCAAGTACTTCCAACCGGTCTTTGTGCCGTACTTTATCGAATGCATTAGCATAATATATAAGACACCAATACACGTTGTTCTACATTTATATTGCTCTTTCTGATGTCGTTATGATAATAAATATCACGTTCCTTGTTCCAGTGTCTTCAACGAACCGTCATTTTAATTGTCTCACTTCCGGTATGATTCTGCTGCGCAGAATTCAGATAGGTTCTCGTAAAAGTAAATGTATAAAACAAACTTGGACTATATAATATTTACTTACTCACACTTTTTAATTAATTATTATTTTTAATGATTATATATCACTAACTTATAAAAAATAATTATAGCAAGAAAGGTTATTTGACAAATAGTAGATTCATTCTAACCACAAATTTTAGGAACTCCAGTATTCATATTTTCTCTTTTCTAGTCTAGACCTTACACATTTTCACTTAAAGGAAATAGTTCTTACGTAATATCAGTCGTCTTATATGGCAGTGAATGTTGGACTAATGAAAAAGATTTAAAGCAACAGAGGGATGCTGAGAATACTATAGGTTGAACATGTAAACAACGACGAAATTTTGCAGAGAGTGAAATCAAAAAGGAGTTAACATCAGATAGAGATAGTTGCAGTTTCTAGGGCACATATTAAGGAAAGAAAGCTTTGAAAATTTAATACTGACAGACTGAAGGCAAAAGTGACAGAGGATAACAGTGCACAACCTACCTAAAGAGCTTCTGTAAATGAATGACAGAACAGGGTTAAGGAGAAATAGTAAAAAGAAAACATTTATTAAGACTGTGTGTTGTCCCCTCATAGCTTCGTCAGTTTCGACAAGAAGGCGTTAGGTGGCGCTGTCAAGCACCTATAAAAACGGGGCACTTCTTCTCTTCGTTCTCTTCTCTTTCTTTTCTGCTCAGCATGCTGTAGCCACGATACCAATCGGGACTTTCCCAGGCATTTTTTCCGTCAGTGACTGAACTCTCTCACACACGCACGCACGCACGCTCACACACACACACACACACACACACGAACGCACCCAAATAATTCTTAACTTGTAATGTTTTTATTATTCATACCCGTGGATATTATCTCTTGTTACTCATATAAAAACAAAAATATAAAATATCGCCTTGTTGAAATTTGTAGGAATTAAATCCTGTATATATTTTTCAACCAATAAAATCCTGTCAGAAGGTTTGTTTGATAAACGATCATTACAAGGGCAAATATTGCCAAAATACTTGCAGACGTAGACCTATCATATGTTACTTTTGGACCATTTAGAAAATAACAATAATAACTCTCTTCACCACTGTCAGAAACTCGAGGAAGATTTTCGTGGGTCAGTATGAAATTGTTTTCTAATTTAATGAAAACCTTGTATAAAAAGAGTTCACACCTCTGTGTGAAATTATATTTTGAATTCCCTTACGGGTATAAAAATAGAAGCATACTGCTTCTCTAGGCTGAAACCAATTTGTGAGGCCAGTTTGATCAACACACGCGCACAATGGAAGAGAGACAGCCACCAACTAAGGCTTTGTCTACGCATACAATAGAAGGGATTAACCAGCAATCACTGACTAAGGCTATGGAGTCACAAACACATTAGGATTATGTTTCATTTAAAACATGTGTTGCTTTTGTTGTTAAATATTTGGAATCCCGACACTCAGCAACTAAAACCTGGGTAGACGGATCCCAACAAATTCATTCAATTTCCATTCACCTATGCAAAATATTATCATCATTGATTTAGTCTAACTATTTGTAGTCTTGTAATAGTTTTGCGACCCGACGTGATTTGAAACATGCACACACTGCAACAAGAGCTACAAACGACAAGAAATTGTGGAGATCCGTGATCATCAACGTCCTGAAAGGACAGGACAAATAAAAGAAGAAGTCCGGACTACTTGAAATACCAACATCAGCGCTTATGTACCTTGCAAACATTATGAAGTAAAACTTATTAATTATGTCACGTGTTTATCGCGGTTAACTAAAACTGCGGAAAAAAGAGAACTACTGCTGAGCAGAGAGTTATTAACATGAAAACGAATTGTATAAGGTATCAATAGACTCACATAGCGTCACAGAGTCGTTACATCGTTAGCTTTCCGATCATGAGAACCGGTTACAAATTTTGCAATGGTCGATTTGTCAAGGAGATGACTTTTTGGTAATATATGTCTGGGGGACCCCAGCGTGCCTTGTGAGTGAAACTGGCCTTGTGAAAGTGAAAATTGTTCGAAAGTGCTAGCGCAAAGTAATGTTGTGCGCAGATATGAAACATCGACCTCATTTAAAAAGTGAATGAAAAACGACAATATAAATATATGGAAAAAAAATAGTCTTCGTATAAAACATTTGCATATATATATATATATATATATATATATATATATATATATATATATATATATATTTACGAAAAAATTCTTAATACAAAGTTAGCTTGTATCTACTTTCACAAAACTATATACCAAAAACAATATGAATTTTTTACTTAACTGTTTGGTTTGTCACGAGCCTGAAATGCATGCGTCCCTGTTTGTATGAACAGTGAAAGAGGGAGATTGACGTTTCAGTCCAACGATGTCTCATTCGGGTCTTATCAGGTCACGTGACTGTTTTTTTATTCTCGTGAATATTTATCGTTAATGTTTTATTGCTTGGGTCAAGGGGAGATAACTTTTTTTGTCTATCGCCACAAACATCCTCACCTAGTAGCATAGTCTAGTAGTAATGAATACTTTTCTACCTCCTTTCATATGACTAGGCTTATTATTTCTGTCTGTGTTTTCTGTATACATTATTATAACATCACAATGAGGTTGTTTTTCGGTTATTACCTGTTTGTCACTTTTAGGTTGAACGTGTAGTTTTAATATATCTATTGATAACATTGACTGCATGTCATTGTTCATCTTAATTGCAAAATATTTGTCAGTTCTACGTAACACTTGGAAGGGACCAGTGTAAGGGGGCTTCCAGAAGCTTGTGAACTCTATCTACTCTTAGCCATACAATTTTACATATCTTAAGCTTGTCAGGAACGTATTGGCGTGATTTATTTGCAGAGCTATAATATTGATCTGTTGAATATAAGGAGTGTAAGGTATATTGTAACTCCTTAGCAGACTTCTGATTATCTATGTTACTGTTAGTATTATCTACTAGCAACTGCGGAATCATTATATGTGTTCATGTAACTGTAAAGAAGGGTGAAGTATTGGAAGAATTAAGACAACATTAATAGCTAGAAAGTAATCATGGCTGGACGCCCTTCCAGTAATACTAATGGGTATCCGTGCCGCACTTTCATGTTGACTGTGTATTTACATACACTGGCGATATTATTTTAAGCGATTATTCTTCAGCACACATAAAAAAACGTTGAAACTGTTATAAAAATCCTATATGAAAATAATCTAAAAATTTCAATAGCAAACTTTGCCGATATAGTCATGCCATTAACAGAACAATACGTATATGCAGTAATACTACAATTACATGAAATGGCTTAATCCAAACGGCATATTCGTACAATCCTAGAGAAGAAATACGTGCTGCTTTTTATATCATCTGGGTGCATTTTGATTTGATGGTTTGCTGATGCCAGGTTGATTTTTCTAAATCCTGATTTGTTGGCTAGTTTATCAGCAATTGAATCAATGTTCGGGATTGGATATGTATCGCTTTTTGTAATGCTGTTTAATGTACAATAATCACAGCAGCATCAGAAATTGCCATCTGGCCTTTTTACAACGTCTATGGGGCTTTGGTTCACTCAGTCAGAATATGTAATGGTACCATTGTTTTGTATTTTCAGAATTTCCCTCTTAACTGCCTGGGTTTTCTCTTCTGATAGACGTCTAGCTTTGGTAAAAAGTATCAGTTCTATGTTATACTCCTGTATATGTACTTGCTGGGTTGGTATGTGGAGATATAATGTTGGGATATATTTTTATATAGCCTTTAATGAAATCAGGCATATTATTATTTACGATTAAGTTGATACAGTCGTTGAATGTTTGTAGTTTCTTTGAACACGATTTTGTGGGATCAATGATCGTCCTCTATTAATAAACCAAATTATTTAGGAAGTCGAATCCTAGTAGTGGGTATTGAATGTCCACTCAACGTCAATAGAAAAGATCGTCGAAGGGTCGGTAGGCTTATCTCGGCTTTAATTTGCCCGTAGTGGCGTCTGACAGAGCCTGTAGCCGTATTTGTAAAAGCTGGTGTTGGTCCCATTGATAAACTGTTGACGTAGCTATGTGAAATGATAAATAAGCTAGCACCGGTATCTATTATGAATGAAAACTTTTTTGTCCCCAACTTTATTGATATCTCTAATAATGGCAGACTCCTGGGACGGGGGATGCCGTCTTCCGCCCAGTTAGTTTCCCCATTTCGTTTGGCGCCAGTGAAGAAGGATGCGAATTTGTCTTTTGTATCAAGTCTCTTAGTTTTTGCTCGGTCATTTGCACCAGTGTGCACATAAACTCGCCGCGTTTGAATGATAAATGTGTGCTCTACATATTTCTTTTATAATTGTCCCTTTTGACAAGTTTTGAGACAGTAAAGTATTGCTGAAGTTTTAGTAGGCACTTCTTTTGTCTGAATTTGGTTACACATGCTTATTTTAGCAGTGCCTCGTGTTAAAGACATTAGTTTATCCACCAATTGTCACAGCCTGGTCAGGTTTAAATCTTTTTGTGTTGCTAACACAGGTGCGATGGAAGACGGTAATGCTTGTAAAAATTTGTGTAACAATATATCGTAAAAATTTGTGTAACACTTTATCTTCAGCCGTTTTGCAATCGACAACATTTCCTGAAGGTAAATTGATGGTTGACCTGTAATAACAGAAGTAGACATTAATTTATCTAGCAGTTCTGGCTCCGTTTGTTCATGTGTTCCAATAAAAGTGTTTTTTTTGGGGTTTTTTTTTTATAACTCATCGTAGTTGTGAGTATCCAGAATGTTGTTTGTTATTTTCGCCATTATTTCCGGAAGTAGAGATGCAGTAACATTATAAAACTTGTTGATTTGTGAAGTTACGTTTTTCAGATAGAAATGAAATTCAATAATTGTGATCTAACTAGTAATGTTAGTTTACATGAATCCAAGTGTCTTAATTGTTATTTGTTGGACAGTCGGATCGTGGTGCACTGGCTCCATTTTTTTGTATTATATATATATATATATATATATATATATATATATATATATATATATATAAATTCTTAATACAAAGTTAGCGTGTATCTAATTTCAAAAGACTATGTGCCAAAAACAATATGAATATTTGTACTTATCTGTTTCGTTTGTCACGAACCTGACATGCACATGTCCTGTTTATAACTTCACGGAGCAAGAGAGAGAGAGAGAGAGAGAGAGAGAGAGAAAGAGAGAGAAGAGAGAGAGAGAGAGATTGATTTTCCCACCTAACGATGTCGCGTGCGGGTCTCGTCAAGTTACGTGACTGTTTTTTTATTCTCGCGAATATTTCTAAGTAATTTTTATTTTTTGGGGGGTCGAAGGAAGATACCTTTTTGTCTATCGCTATAGACACATGTCATCGTGATCGAGGGTTTGAGCGTACCTAACTTGTTCAAATTGGTGATCATGCTTAACTATGCGCTCTTCCCCAGAAAGTGAAATTAAGATTCGTTCAACATAGTTTTGTAGCGGTCTTTCATATCGCGACCCCTCCAAGGGGTCGCGATATGAAAGCACGGCCCGGGCGGGAAAGTTGGTTAGTCGTCGCACATGATCGATGTTGGTCGCCGTAGATGATCGCTGCTGGTTAGCTGGTCTGGTTTGGGACTGGACATGTCGAGAAGGAACAGGTAGCTGGCGTTGCGATGTTGTTGGGCATATCGAATATCTTGCGTTGCGTGTCTGCTGGTCGAGTCCGATATCGAAACCTCCCGTAATAATTGCAAACGTAGTGTACGGGAAAGGTTATGGACGACGTGTGGGCAGCCAGTAGGGACGGAATGCCGAGAGTCGAACATGGGCAAGGAGCCAGAAGTAAAGAGGCGAAGGAAAGAGAGAAAGAAAGGTAGATCCAACACGCGTCCAGTTGGTAGACAAAAAAAAATGAGAGAGTAAATTAATACGCAGCCCTGGTCGGCGTCCTGGCCACAAAAGGCCAGGAGCCTGCGTACCGACGATATTTAGGCAACCACCCCCCACGAGGGCATCATGTGGCACAAGGCCGGTTTAACGCGGGGTCTCCGAGCCCGTGGGCTCGGCCAAAAATATGCCCATTGAACGCGTATAAACGGGTTCAGGGTCGGTTTACCTCCCCGAAAGAGAATCCGCCCTTCGGCGTAGCCTCTTTCGAGTTCCTCCCCGCCCGAGGGCAGAGAGTCCAACCGATCAGCCAGTCGACTGACTGACCAATGACAGTTTGTAGGGGACACTCGGGATTGAACCGAGGACATTTCGATCTGCAGTCGAATGCTCTACAACTGAGCCTGCGTACCGACCGGGATTTATTTTGTAAAAAATACAAAATTGTGGCACAAGGCCGAAAAGGGGGAGGGGGTAAGGCTGGTCTTCACTAACTATCTTATACCTAGCTAATTTGATTCACGACCCATTCAGACGTTACAATTTACTCATTCACCATAAGAACTCGTCCGTCACCAATCAATCCTCCATGCACCATAATACCACATCCGCTCTAGGGAGACCTACAAAACGCGCCCCGTGTCATAATAATCCTAACACATATGTACAAAAATTCTAAGATGAGAAAATGAGAGGGTGGGGAGATGAACCCAATAACGAACTAAAATATTAACATAAATGAAATTAAACGTTAACTGATGTTAGTAGGGTCCGTCCAACCCTCAAAAGGCAGGGAAACCACTGTATTCTGCCCATTGGAACAAAATCAAGCAGCTCTCTCGCTAAGGGAGTGGGAAAGGTGATAAAAAATCATACGGGAATAGGGAAGTATAAAGCTGACCCAGTCGAGATGGAAAATGGGGGCCAAAAAACAAACTGGGGAGATTGGGAATCTCAGGATGGATCATAACTAAAGATGTGGCCGGGGGGGGGGCAGGCCAGGAACAACACTTACTCGCATTAACTAGGTACACCAAAGCTTGTCTAACCTAACCAAGGGGAGGGCACCACAGGAAGCCGCCCCGATGTAACGTAGGCTTGACCTAAAAGAGAAAATCAAGGCTAGCCCCGTTCACACGAACCAAGCTCGCCTCAGTCACCCACCTTTCGCTGAAGACTGTCGAATGCAAGCGTTTTCTATCAGTTCTACTCTTCGTCTTGAGCTGATGCTCAAAGAATCGGATCAGATCCTGATGAGAAAGACGGTTACCCCGCAAGACTTCCTCATCTCGCGTCGTCCATATCACCATTCGGGCCGTGGCTAGCAGCGTGAGAAACACCATCCGTTTCACCCCGGAATACGGGGGCGACACATTGTCACACGCGTATGCGCGATCCATGGGCACAAGCTTTTCGGGAGCGAGACGAGCCGTCAGCTCGCCGACATGGTCCCATAAGGGGCGGACCCGGGGGCAATGGTAGAAGGCGGAGCCTGCGTACCGACCATGAATTCGGCGAAAAATCGCTGTATTATGCTAAAGGAGACTAACAACAGAAATGGTCTCGCTAAAATGCTATAAAATCTCTCTAAAAACTAAGCTCTAAAAATCCTTAGAGGTGTATTACGACTAGGTTCGTAATACCAACGAACTAAAAGCTCATCTCTAAAACGAAATTACCAGCGTGTAGGGAACACGATCGAAAGGTCAAGGTTAAAATCCCCTGTTCTCTTCCGCTTTAGGGAGCGGTCAAAGGCGTCCGCGACAAGTTGTATTATAAACTACTGGCTGGCTACCTTGATGTTGACCAATCAAAAATATACCCGAGTATGTGTCTACAACTTAGATTAGCTTGCCATCCTAGCAGACAAGCATGATCAATTATTTTATTAACTCACATTTTCCTTTTTAGCTTAGATTTTTTTTTCAGTTATTAGAAAAAAATTACAAGCTGCGTATTTTAATTAATATCTCCACTTTTGATGGGTGATATTTACCAGTTATAAACTAATTTAACACTAGCCGTTCATTTACAATTTAAACCCAACCTATTTGCAGGTACGGCTTCAAAAAATAAAAGTTGCGGATGGTTAAGTCAAATGCTAAGTTTGAAAAATGACTGATTCTGTTGTTTTTATTTATTTTTGTTTTTTTTAAATCTCATCTTGATATAAAATGAATGACTTTAGATCAAATATATTACTGTAAACATTTTTCGGCGTTTGTTTTTATGTACATTTTTACTGTTCATTTGTACTTTTTTTTCCGGAATGTGTTGCTGGATTCAACACTTTTGATATGAGCTGTAGACGTGGTTTAATATAAGTTGTGGATGTTGTTTAATGTTCCTGGTACATTTAACCTGCAAACAATTTTGGCTGTATAACGAGAGAGGGAGAAAGAAAGAGAGAGGGAGAGAGCGCTATGGAAGAACAATATTTCCCCTATTATGTGCATTATTATACCTGTGATATAATTACACTGTAATTCACAGATGAAATAGTTGAAAGGAAACATTTTTTTTGAAGACAATAGAATTCATTCCCGAATTGTTCTTGATTTTGATTGGTTCCAGAAATGGCTTATTTGACAATGCCTTTTTCTTCACCTACATTTAGGAATGATAACCTTTTGGCACCTTTTATTTATTTATTCATTTTCTTATCTCTTTCTTTTTATTTCTTTATAGCAAACCAAAATAATTTGCCAACTTCTACCTTTTTATTTTTGAAATAGTGATCTTTTTCTATCACTACAAACTCAATAATCAGTTTCAAGCAGGATTTTACTTTAAATGTTAAGTTTGTTGCTGGCCGGTGTATGCGTTGAGAGATAAACACGCGTGTCTCCTGAAATGCCCACAACAAACATGGCAGACTCGGGATGTGAGTCCACGTAAATAAATGAAAAGAAACGGCAAGAATCAATATATGTACAAACAAATGATAATGGGCTGACAAAGTTATACAAGCGACATAAACAATAATGTTTGTAACAAAATGTATGCGAAATCTTTTTGGGTGCAGATATGTGTAGTGAGTGAATGTGTGCACGTACGTGTGTGTGTTGTTCTCCGCGAGAGGTTACATGTTGATGAAAAAGCGGATAGGATCACAAGAGAGTGATAAAAAATATCGCAGAGTATTTGTAGTCCTAAGAGCGTCTCCTAGGAACAGATTCGAAAATTACGAGGCGGTTCCAGAATGTAACCTATAAAGTTTTGACTGGTGGAATATATAGTGTTGAGCTCAGATGAATTTCTAAAGTAGGTAATAATTTTCCAAAATTATATCTTAATCTTTAATTTTACAAATTTTCTTTGAAATGAATCTCAAAGACAGATGTTTGACTTTAAAGAGATTTTAAAAATATTTTAAATTTTCTGACATTTTTCAATTAAAATGGCTGATGATAATATTTTAAGACCTTGTTAAAATAAAATTATTTTTCTCTTTTTACAGGTAATCTTCAGCTATTATATTTTAAATAAGATAAATTTTACTGAAAAGAAAGCTACATTTTAAGTTCTTTTAAATTAATTTTAAGTTTTTTAGCAGTGTCTATCATAGATTAAAGCCACGAAAACAAATTTATTAATTTTATTTTTTTAGCAAAAAAAAGCCACCATTGCACTGCACATGATTTATCACATTTTGATCAAAATCAGAATTTACTGAATTTTTATGTAGCCACAAAATCAAATCAACGACGATGTGAATGCTTTCCCTTGTTTTGACTCTCTAAGGCCGAAGTATGAAATAGCCTACTCATGTCGACAACATGGCCGAGCAAATCGACCAATTTGTTAATTTTCGGAGAAGTTTTGATAGTTTTGTTACCAGCTACGTTTCCAACTCTAAGAGCCAAGCAGTCATCTGCAAGAATACAGCCACACGCATCCTGAGAATTCTCAGAGGTGCTTCTAACGTTTCCCTGCCTCAGCTGAAATACTATGTGAAACAAAAGAATATTCATTTACGAGATTTTCCAGAGCTTCAGTTGCAAGGGGTACTATGTCTCCCTAGTAATAACGAAAACAATAGTAGCAACAGAAAAACAACAAATCCTCGGGTAGGGAAAATTAATTCTGTATATTAAATATATTTTAAATATTTGTGCTTTAAAATATTTGTATTATCTACATTGCTATATATAATTATTTTTAGAAATTCTTAGTTCTTAATTCCTTTTTTCGAAAAGAGTTAATTTAATTAACTTAAAAATGCATTTTTAAAATGTGAGCTTTTCGAATAAATAAATAAATAGTGCATGTTAGTGAGCGTAAATAAAAACATTTATATAGGTGTTTATTTTTTCGAATATTCATTATTTTGAATCATTTTCTTTTCTAATGACTATGAGTTCGGTTGTCCGGTAAAAATTTAGTCATGAATTTTGTTTAAATCCACTCGAAGTCAATATGTATTGTATATTTACGTCTACACTAATTTTTGAGTTAGTGTTGTTGACGCAATTCATTCATTTATTTATTTTGCAACCAAAATAAAATCATCGGCGCGTACAATGTGTTTTTAATTTTGCGTTATTCTATTTTTTTTATTTATTTATTTTTTTTTTTTTTTAAGAGTTGTAGGTACAATTAGCAACGGGAAATAATCATTTTTTTTTTTTTACTTAAAAATTTGTGCTTAGATCACAAATACCGAAAAAAAACAAAAAAAAAAACGAACTATTCAATTTTATAAAATGTATTTATTTATTCGTGATCTGGAGTGCTTATCAAAAATAAATTTTTGTGTCTATTATTGTACATCACCATTTTTTATGAATAGCTGGCGTTCTAAGTATTGTTTGAATAAATGCATTAAATTCCTTTACTGAAGTGGTTTTGTATTAAATTAACTGTTTATCGATAGTATTACTCTCTTATTTGTTTAACTAAATTGGTCATTCATTTTTTTCCGTCGTTTATTTATTTACTTAGTTATCCAATTGTGGTTTTAAATGTAAAGTTTAACACACAGTACACACACACTATTTTAGTTTTGAAAGTTTTTGGGGCGTAATGTCAGCTATTTTTATTTAGGACCTTTTTAAATTTCGAAAACATCAAAAATTTTATTATTCCATTGATTAAATATCAATGAGTACCTTCCTCTATTTCTGTATTTTTGTTAAAGTAAGACATTAGGATCCTGAGAAAACCCGTCAAAAATTAAAAATTTAAAAAAACAAGTTTTGTGTGAAAAATTTCGTAATTAAAAACAAAACAATAAAAAAGCTATCCGACATTAGGATATGAAAAATAAAATTAAAAATTTAACGAATCAAAAACAATAAAAAAGGCTATCCGTTGGTTTTAACGAATCACTGTTGGTTTTGAGTTTTGACTAAATTCAAAATCTTTCAAGTTCATATCTGCTGAAAACAAATACATGACTTTTTCGTGGTCAGTCAACTCAAAAATACTATCCGTACGCATGTACCTTTTTTTTTTCTTTTTTTTTTCCACTTGTAATCCAAATTGTATAAACATGTCAGTTTTTATTATTATTTTGAATAAAAACTTTATTTAACTATCAAACGATGTGTCATAGAGAAAAAAACATTTTTTAAAAATGTAAATCAACTAGTTTTTACATTTTACCAAACTTATGGGAAGTTTATTTTTACCGTAATTGTCGGTGTGCAGGTAGTGTGGTGGTTAGCGGCTTAGAAAGCGAAAGACAAATCGGCCGAGTTCGAATTGTAGTAAAGTTTGTAACATTCACTTTCGTTATGAATCCATCTTCCGCCTCACCCAGCTATGGGTTAGAAAAAAAACCCCCCAAAAACACAGATGCTAATAATAGATTTAAATTTATTTCAAATAAGCAAAATACTTTTCTGTATTTCAAACCAAATTTAAATAGATTGGAATGCTTTTCTTTTCTGATTATCAGTAAAAAATGTTCTATTTATTAAAAAAAACATTTAAAAAATAAAATACACTTACAACGTTGATAGACACACACACACATACATACATACATACATACATATATATATATATATATATATATATATATATATATATATATATATATATAGTTTAATCTGAATTGAAATAAATATTATTTTTAGTTTAATGTAGAAAAGCATTTTTTAAAATGGGGTGGTTGTTTTTATGAGGTGTTGAATGATGTTTTGAGAAATTATTTAACGGGTACTATAATTAGAAAAATTATATGATGAATACAATGAAAATGCTTTTAATTTATGCAGTTTTTTTTTAACTTCTGAATAATCTTAAAAATGTAAAATATTTTAAGTAGATACCTCCAAACATTTTGTATAAAGAGCCTAGCATGATGAAAAAGGCCCCACACTTGATAACAAGGAAGTTTTATGATCAAAATGTTTCTTATTATTAAGAGGACAGACCAACTTATCTTTTTATTAAATTTTTTAATCCATTCTAACATGTTTGCAATTTTGGTTGAAAATCTTGTTTTTCTTGCATCAGTGGGTTGGCCAAAGATTAGTATGGGAAATTTGTTGTCATTTTTGCAGTAAAAAACACCTTGTTTTGAAAATTCTTGCAAAAATCATTTATAGGATTTTTATAAAATTTTCAGGACTTATTCACAAATGAATGAAATTATTTCTTTTTAGAAAAGTTTGGTAAAAATATATATATTTTTTTTAAATCTGTTAATACCCCACTTAATTTTATCAAATTTAGAGAAATTAAAATTCCAGTATCTTTGTATTTATTTGTTAAAAGCAGAACTCCTTGGAGAATTTAAATCATCAATTTGTTTTTGTCAAACAGAAACTATTTACCAAAAATCTGCTCTGAATCTTAAAGTAAAAAATACAATAAAACTATGACATTATTTAATTAGAAAAGGTTTAGTTTTATAAATAAGTTATATTAAGCACACTATTGTCTTAAAAAATATATTTTTTCGATGAACAATGAATTTATGAGAATTGTTTTAAGTGTTTAAAAACTTTAATTAGAAAAATTTATTAAGCTTTAAATTCTTTAAAATTCTGTATTAATTTCAGCAGTTTTGATATTAAGTGAAAACTATATTTACTAATCATAAATATAAAAGGCAAATCATCAAACACCAATACTTTAAAAATAATTTTGAATTATTTTTTATTAGTGTATAAACATACCCTGTTTTTGTAAGTAAAGGTGACCATACACAATATATCACAAAATTAGTGATTACTGTACTAAATTTAAAGCTCAAATTTCTAATATTCAATAAAACATTAGGTTATGGAGAATATTTTCCTAAATTTTCAAGATTACTGAATACTTAAAAATTATATAAAAAAAAAAGGTGCTCTCTTCATTTTCTTCAATTACGTTTTACCGATAAAGTCTCTGTAGGACAACATTAGATCTATCATCATCTTGTCAAACATGTCAACACAGCTACTGTTTAGTTAAAAATTGCATTTCTGCGATAATTTAAACTTAAAGTAATGTTTCAAATCAGATTGATTATACTTTAAATCATTTAATATTGCTCAAATATAGTTTCAGAATAGTATATTGTATTTTTGAAAGATTTTTTTATTAAAGAAAATTACATTTTTATAAAAGTTTGCTGAAAGTGCTGCCAAATTCAAAAATTATAGAAATTTCAAAACAAAATCTCCTTTCAATCAATTTAAATTAGTTTTGATATGCAGTATAGTATTTTGCTTGTTAGAAATATTTAATTTAATCTATCAGCTTGAAATTAAAACTAAAATAAAAGCTTAAAGAATTTTAATTTTTAAAAATTCATTTTAAACCTTATTGTGAATCAGTGGAGGTACCTATTTTTTTTAATTTTAGGTACTTTGTAGTCTGACTTATGAAGAGGGTTGTTGAAGAAATGTTAGAAGATATCTAATAAATTTTAAAATTACTATAGTTAACTTTTATTTTCTGATAATGGATATCCATATTTACAAAAATCGACATGTTTGTATACACAAAATAAAGTCAGAACTATTTTTAAATGTTGGGGTTGTTGAATTTTGATCTTTCCCACTTATGATTAGTAAATAATTTTAATTTAATCACAATATCACTTAGCTGATATAAAGTGTGACAGAATTTTTAAAGTTTATAAATTATTCTAATTAAAAAATGGAAATAATTCTTGTAAAAATTCATTATTCATAAATATTTTCTTAAAATAATAGTGTCTATATTTTATTCATAAAAATAATTAAAAGCTTTTCTCATTAAATAATGTCTTGAAGTTTTAACAAGGCAATAGAATTTGTATGCGTATTTTATAGTATTAGGACTTGCATTGAGATTATTTAGAGCTTAAGAATTAAGATGAATCAGCAAATTTAAACCGGAAAACTGAAATGTTCATGGGTATTGCAAGTTTTTGTATCAGCTTTAACTGAATTCTTATGCATTTGTTTCAATAAAGTCTGATTTTTTTTTTTTTGATACAGTCTCTCTTGAATAAAACCTTAAATGTTTCACTCTAGCTAACTAATAAATTATTGGTAATTCTAAAATCTTACTCAAGTTCAAATTCTGAAATTCATGTAAATTCTAAAAACTTGAAATAAACACTAAACCTTTTTGCAGGTACAATGGTTAAAGATTGCTGAATTTTCCATTGCTAAAAACCCTTCTTTTACCTTTCAGTGTTATCAATAATACACATTGACAAAACTAACCTGGCCATTTGTCTCGAAAAGGACCTCCAATTGGTTGTGAACTGGGGCCGTAATTGGCTGGTTAACTTTAACGCCACCAAAACTCTCTATTAATCACCACAGAGAACCTTCCCTGCCCTCCTCCCATTAGAATGTCTGTTGCTCAACTTCCCGAAAGCACCTCTCTGCGACTGCTTGGTCTCACGTTGTCTACTTACCTGAGATGGAACAAATACATTGAGTCAATTGCTTCGTCCACCGCAAGGAAAGTTGGCTCCCTGTGCTGTGCCAGGAAATTTATCTCCCCGGAATCGATCCTTCAAATCTACAAATCAACCATTCGCCCTTGCATGGAGTATTGCTGCCATATATGGTCTGGAGCCCCTTTTGTTTGCTTCGGGGTTCTTAATAAGATCCAGAGACAGATGTGCAATATAATTGGCCCTGACCTGGCATCTCATCTGCAGTCGCTCTCTCACAGATGTGCCATCACCTCTCTCTGTCTATTTTACAAATACTTCCATGGTAATTGCTCCGATGAGCTGTTTTCGCTGGTTCCAAGACTTTGCGAATTCAAGCATCCTACGAGGCTGGCATCCCGCTCTTACCATTTCACTGTTGAAACTGTTAAATGTAGCCGTCTCTTCTACTCCAATAGCTTTATGTCTCGCACCTTTCACCTGTGGAACTCCATTCCCTACTCCTGTTTCCCTGATAGCTTTAATCTCCAACTATTCAAATGTAATGTCAATCGACATCTCCAGTTGCCTTGATCTATCCACTATCCTTCTTCACATCCTCTCCTCTATCACTCCTATCTGCTCTCGCTCCAAATCCTTTGTAACCCCTTGCGTACTAGTGGCTTCCTGCCTTGCTAGGGGTGAAATGCTTAAAAAAAAAAAAGTAGCCATAAATGTAACTTAAGCAGTGATTTGGTGGATGTACCAAGCATTTTAAAATGGCTGATATGAATTTAAATTTATGTTAGAATTTTTTTTAGATGTGGAATTCTTATATTTCATTCTATTTGGAACATTTCATTAATATGTCTAATATTTTGACCATTGTACTCATCTGCCTTCTTCAGATGGTTATGATAATTTCCATTCCCACAAACTAGAAAGTATAGCATGGCGAAATGGGTTTATTTTTTTCATATTTATTTGAAAAGAAGGTTTTATTCATATATAGTTACTCTTTCATTTAATCTTATTTTCACAGTCAAACAGCGATGGTATTTTTGGAAAATACAGGCGAATAGCTGTTAAGGAGGAATTTTTTGATATCATAAATGAAATCCACACACAAAAAGGATCTGGTGAGCATTTCGGACCAAGGAAAACTTTCAGAGAGGTGAGACAAATTTTAATCCAGTATGCATGCTTGTCAGTTGCAAAGACAATTTTTATATATGCATTATGGGTTATATTAAAGCTAAAATATTTTTTTTGTATCCTCTATAAACTTTGTTCTCATCCTTTGCTGTTACAGCTGTGTTCAGGAGAAGGGAGATGGGTAAAATGATTCTATCTCAGTGTTTTAAAAAATGTCTTGTGTTTATTATGACCAGCAGTGCAATCTGCAAAGTGGGGACTTTAGGGCACCCACCCACTTGACTAAAAGTGAATAAAATAATGAATAAATGAAGACTTTTGGTATCTTGTGACACTTCAACAGACTTTGGAGATTTCTGTCCACAAGCTTATGTAGATGGTTGGGATTGAAGAGAAATCTGGACTGATTGTTGGTGGGACAGACTACCTTCAAGTAGTTGAATGCTGTCTGTTTGAGTTGCGAGCCATGCATTGTGGTATAGAGATGGGCAGAGGGATGTTAAGAGAAAGTCAGACTTCTTACTGGTTGAAGGGAAAGGTAGTTTGTAGTCTGTCATGGCAGAAATTGTCTCATGTGTTACTCTCCACCCATACTGTGCAAATTAATCCTTGAAATAAATAACTGTATACATGGAAAATAAGATTCCTGTTTTTTATTTCTTGCCGTGGTGTTTATTTTCTCCTTTTGTATTCCTTGTGAACGTACAATGGACCTTTCCGAGTTTTTGTGAGCACCAATGTGAATGATAAAGGTGCCACATGAGTGTTATGTTTACAGTTGGTGAAGATCCAAGAAAGCTCTTTGTCAAATGTTTACAACTCTATTGAGTGATTGTTAAGGGCAACATGATTTCTTTCCTAAAAGAATTCCTCTCTATTGAGCTTACAATGTTGACTAAAGTGTTGTGGATTCCTTAAAACGTTTATAATCTACTATTAAATAAATATGGGTGTCAGCAGGTAGGTTAAGTTTAAAGTTCCTAGTTCTCCACTGAGGATTGTCCCATGGGACAATAACTTAGTGGATTAAATCATGAACAACGTAATTGTGAATTCAATGTATGGGTGGAGCAGTGTGTACTTGGAGTCATTGAAAATGGTGTGAGCAATAACTGAGCATTATGAAATATGAACTAGAGATATTCCAAGACATGGGCAGTGGAACAAGAACAATCTAAGTCTATAGATTAAATAAAAGGTTCAATTCAAAATTCTCTGAAGGTTACCCTGATTGAAACTGTCAAGCACAGAGAGCACAATGGGCAAAATGTGATAATGAAGATGAGGACAATAGTCTGTATGCAAATAATGATAACTCTACGTCCCAGAATTTCAGACAGAAATATATTGGCAGCTTGCAAACTTGTTAATATGTGGGCTACATTGTATATTTTACACATTTTTGAAAGGAAAAAAATCAATTTTACAAATAAGTTTTTTTCATTTTTTTTTTTTTTGTTTGTTTGTTTTTGTTTTGTATTGTATTCAACAAAATTTAGAGAAAAAAGAGAAATGTGACAAATTACAAAGATGCATCTGCATTGTTAATGATCCTGACCTGGCATCTTAGTTTCAGTCACTTTCCCACCACTCTCATGTAGCTTCTGTATGCCTCTTTAAATATTTTCGTGGTAATTGTTCTGATGGGCTTTCCTTTTGGTAGCTAGTACTATATATAAATTCATAAGAATTTAAGTGCAGTACTAGATTGGTAGCAAGGTCTCATTGTTTTACAGGTGAAACTGCTACATGTAACTATATGTTCTATGCTAACAGTTTCTTCTCTCGCACTTCTGGCTTCTTGATTTCCAATAAACTTTGTTCTTCAAAAATTTAAATGCAATATCAATCATTATCTTATGTCTTCTTAATTCCTGTTCTTTTATTGTTTTCTCTCCTTAATAATGTTTTCATTTTTTTACACACTTAGTAATCCCTTGCATCTTATTGGCTTCATTGCCTTGTTTGGGGCGAAAAAAAAAAGGTGGGTGAAAATGTCAAACATTAACAAATATACTGATAAATTAATCCACTGTAGATGAAGACAGCTGGCAATTTATTTCAACTTGCTTCTCCACCCCAGGAGAAAATCTTGTGGCAGCCTGGGCTGGAGCCACCCAACTGAGACTTTCAAACTTTGACCAACTTCAAAAATGTTTGTGCAACAAATTGTTTTCTACCCTACAACTCCTTTCCTGGCAGATGTTTGGGTAAACTATCTTCCATGGTTCTACCAGTCTAGACCATCACAGCCTTGCCACATATGTTAAGTTGACTCATCCTCACTCCTTTCATATTCCATTAGTAAGGAAGATGTTCCTCTCGAACATCTTCTTCTCCAGAACTTGCATTGTGGAACAGCCTTCCAAGAGGATGCTTCCCTGATCACTAAAATTTTGACCTCAAGGGTCAACTGATATCGGTCCTACATATTCTCATAACATGCACCCTCCCATCTCCATCTCTGTATGCCTTTACACCATCATCATTTTGTAAGCCTCAACCTTGAGTGGCTCTTGCATTATGTGAACAATAATAAAAGGTAAAAATAAAGCTTTAATTTGGAGACCTCAAATAAAGTTTCTTCCTTTTCTTTCTCCTCTTCGGTACCATTCCTCTGTGGTGAATAGGACCACAGCTTTACCATGCTAAATGTTGCTCTGTGGTTAGATGTAGATGTTGCCAGCCTCACAACTGTTTTTTTTTTTGTTTTTTTTCTTGTCCTTCCAGGCAGGTTGCCAACCGAGGATGCTAGAAAGCCTGGTCTGCCTGTCCATTTAACCTATAGCTGTGGTGGTGATGGGGGAGTGGGTGAGGAGAATTGATTTATCCCCTTCAGTTAGTTAAGTGCCATACGGGATACGTGCCTTGGGCGATCATCTCTCTTTCAATTCATTACTGACTCAGCAGAAGATTTTCCTGCAGTAGGTTGCCATTTTTTTCTACAGTAGACTGGTGGCCAATCATGGCTATAGAACCTAGCCTGTCCTGCTATTCAACCCATGAATTCAACTGAAATTCAAACTCTGTTCTCCAATTTTCACATTCTGAGCTAATATCCATTGCATGACAACACACATCCTTTACCAAGCACAATGCACATCCGCTTATCAAGCGTATTTGTATGGAAGTGAATGCAAAGAACTTGGCACACCACTAACACTTTCAGTGAAAATGACCGCTACTCCGAGATGCTTAAAATTCATCTGAACAGTTTTTACCGAATTGTGTACCTGTACTGGGACATTTTTATCACCAAAATAATTCTCTTTCCATTCATATCTAGAGAGATTGTAAAAATCATTTACTGTAAAATAAAAAAAAAAAAACTACATTTTCTGTTAATTTTGTGATTCACTTAAATTGTTTCATTATAAAGATAAGCAATGTGATTTGTTCAGAGCATTATTTTGTGTGAGTGCATGCATCTTCCACAATTTTATTCTGGCTGTATTTATTCTATAATGGTAATGCTACTTTTGGAATGAAAAATTACAAATTTTAATGTGTATTGAAAGTTAATAATAAAAGCCTGCCCTACGTTTTAAGCTAGTTTCTGTGAAAAAGTCTAAACAATTACTTGAGCCCCAGTAAAACATGATGGCTTTGAATTACATATTTAATGATGGTTGTTTAAGCATAGCTTAGACATGGCACAAAGGTTGAAAGTTTGAGGCAGCCAATGAGGACGGAACTCACTACTCAGTAGTAATTGTTCTAGTGAGACAAGCTTGCTAATCATTACTCCACATTGAAGTGCCCTTGATTTACTAAGTGTAGCTTAGATGTGGCACAAGGCTGAAAGTATGGAGCACCCACTGAGGATTGAACTCACTACTTGAAATATGTATTTAATGAATCAGACCATATTTGAAAATTATCACCATCATAAGCTATTGGATTTGTGACAGATTTCACAAAATATTCCAACTTGTGGTCCATGTGTTCCTACTATATTTAGATATCCTTGATAAAATCCAAAGAAGAATAAGTAATATTATTAGTCTTGATCTGGCTTCTCGGCTCAGTCACTTTTCCACCACTGTAAATTTGCTTTTCCTATTTTCTATAAATACTTTTATGGTAATTGTTTGAATGAACTCTTCGTTATGGTACCTAGACTTTATAAATTTATGTGCAGTACTAGATTGGCAACAAGATCTCGTCAATTTACAGTGGAGTGGGTTAAATGAACTTGCGTGAACTGTTATCACTTTGCACATGTACTGTTACTTCTACTCATCACATAAGCTTTCAAAATTTTTTTAAATTTTTTAATTTTTTTTTATTTTCAACCATTACTATAAATCTTGTTTCCTTCTCACCCAATTACTATTACTGCTATGATGACTGTCACTATTATCTTTGATATTACCTTATTATTATTATTATTATTCCTATTTTTTATTTACTACAAGGTTTCTTTAATTATTTATCATTTATTTGTTTTTTAGATTTATTTTTATTTAAATTTTGACTCATCATTGTTACTCTTTAATTATATTTTAATTAGTGATCATATTTCCCCTTTCTTTTAAAGGTTTTACTCTTTAATATATATATATATATATATATATATATATATATATATATATATAATGGTATTAATAGTAGTTATGTAATAATATTTAATAATAATATTTGATAAAGGTACTAACTAATATAGTAATTTTAATTAAAATAATAATAGGATTATTTATGATGTATTGATATAATTAATAATATAATAGTATTATTTAATATAATATAATCTTATGTAATATAGTGATGTTGATATATTAATATGTCTCCTTGATGTATGATATATCAATATATATTGTATTATTTGGTGTAATGATGTATCTTAATTCAAATTAATAATATTGTTTAATGAGTTATTTACATTTTAAGTAGTATCTTTTATTATAATAATATTTAATAATTTTTAATATCCTTTAATATTTTATTTACTGTTATCTAATAATATTTAGTAATATTTAATTATAATGATATTATTTAATAATGTAATATTTTAATAAT